ATAAGGTCGGAAGTAGGAGCAACAATACGAAATAAGAATCGAGAAAGGTCGATCCGTCAATTAAAGGCAATAAGCTTTTAGATTATGGGTCTCCTACTCTCGGATTTCTTCAAAATTCGAGAGCAATCCTCCACCATTTCTCTTCAAACATATTCCTACAGTTTCTGAACAAGATTACCCACAAGTTCTATGAAGGAATAGAGTGCTGAAAGTGCCAAGAAACCATTCCCCCAATTCAATCTGTCATTGAAGAACTTCAATAAAAACTTGAAAATCCAATCCGAGGATACATGATGACTCGTCGAGCAAGAATGATTTCAATCAGTTTCCACACCTCCAAGGAATTTTTCCACAGAAGACCACGAAGAAAAATAACCTCGAGAGCGTGCCAAATTGAAGGAAATAGGTTTCAAAATTAAATTGGGGATAAGAGTCAAAATTCCTATCTACGATCTCTTTTCCTTCAAATTAAGGATTCCTCTAGCTTCAGAGGAAGAAGTTGAGTAAACTTGATGAAGGAATCGAGAGCTGAGACGACGTAGAACAAGCTACCCGCGAGATCGAAAATCTGGCGTTTCGAGTGAGTTGCATACCGAGAACGATTTTTGGAAATTAAGGTCCTACACTAAAAGACGTTCCTCCAAACTAATTCCTTTAGCCTGAAGATAGGATATGGAAGGGGTTCAATGAAGAAATAGGGCCTTGAAACCCCTAGAATCGGCTACCCAATAAGAAATCCTTTGTTTTATCTCCAGCGATAAATCAGATTTTGGATGAACTTTAGTAGCGAATATCTTAGGCTACGATCCACGAGAAGTTATCAAATAAATCCCTAGCCCTTTCTTACTTAAGCACAATAATCTAGCATACAATCTACCATATCATAAACAAGTCATAACGTAAACACTTCATAGTCATATCGTTCTCTAACTTACCATAACGCTATTGTTCTATCAATCTATCACAAACCTATCCCTTTCTACCCATAACCTAACCATATTCTTTCATCAATCTCTCCTATCCATAGCACTCTGGTATTTAACCTAACCTTAACGTTTCATGAACGTATCTTACTTCTATTGTTACATTTCGTTTTGTGCATCCTTCTCGTATCCTATCTCAAACATATCCTTGAGTACATCATACCATAATTATTATCATACAAACAACCTATAATAACATAAGATAACATATAGGAAGTATATCGATCCATAGACAATTCACACATATCAATATATATATATGACACGTGCAGAACCACAAGGAACGTGTCAACATCAAATATAACCATGCCGATAGTAAGGTCACTTACCTGGTTAGCTTAAGTTGTCGTCACAAATATATCCTTAATGAAAGTTCGATTCCGTCGTTATCCTTAATGAAAGTCCATTGAACTCCAAGTCAACGCCCATGACATCAGTTTCAAGTTTGAACTTTATAAAATTATTTCTCTAATTTACATTGGCCATTCTTAAATTCTAATATTTCTTGTTAGACAAAATTTGACGGAGTTCCTTGCCCTCTCATCTTTCCTGTTTTATTTTTTTTTTAATTATGTTCAACAAAATCTTTTCTCAATCTTCCATCTTCCATCTTCCATCTTCCATCTTCCATCTTCCATCTTCTACTGTAATTATTTTGGAGATATTATTGGCAGATTTTGTTAATCTATCCTTACTTCAAAATCTTCCAAATCTTCCAAATCTTCCATTTTTATCTTTACTTTCATTTTTTTTCTCTTATCGGTTAACAGTATTCTGTATTTCCATCTCTATTTAGTTTTTTTTTTCTTATTTCCTTTGTCTATAAAATTATTGACAACCTAAATCATTGTAACAATTCGAAGATCTAAACAATTCATGAGATCTAAAATATAATTGGTTGTGATTCCTAAATATTACAGAAAAGAATTCCTGATTAATTGCTAGATTTATTTTTAGGGAAGGAGTGGTGAGAGATTGAAGGAAGGAGTAGGGATCGGTTAGCAAATGTTTTTTTTTTATATATATATTTTTATTATTTATTTATTTATTTATTATTATTATTATTAATATTATTATTATTACTATTTTATTTTATTTCTTCTGTTGTTACAGGAACATTGAAAGTAGAATGTACACAGTGATTCTTATCATCATCTCCCTCTTCAGGATTAGTACTCGAATCAGAAAAATCATCACCTACATCAAAAGGACTCAATTTAGCAACATTGAAAGTAGAATGTATTGACAATTCTACGGGAACATCAATTTTATTGTTCCATGCAATAAAATGAGTCATTTTACTAAATGTATTATGGAGCATTTATAGTCAAATAAAGAATTAGGAATCCACTCCCACTCCCAATTCAACTATCCAAGCTAACATTAAAATGAAAATTCATGAGTAAAATTATTTACTCTAATTCGTATGCTGTGAACGGATCTATAGTGACGCTCTCCCAACTAATTTTAAATTAAATAGTCAGGAGTCAAGTTATGTGACGTGAATCAGGTGCGGTGAACATGGATCGAACACGTGACCTTTAGATTTTCAGTTTGACACTCAAAACTGAGTTATCTTGGCTAATATTTGAAGAAGAAAAAAATCATAAGTAAAGGTATTTCTGCTAATTCATTATATTTTAAAAAGGAATAACCACTAATTTTAGATTGAATAAAGTTATGCAACTTAATCAACTTATGCAACCAATGAGGTATTTACGCTAATTCATACTAATTTTTTTATTGAATAGTCAGTTTATGCGAATGGAAACAAGTGCGGTGAACGTGGAGATTAAACACGTGACCTTCAAATCCTTAGTTTAACACTCTCCCAACTGAGCTATCAAAAAACGGTTCTGATAAACCGGGAAAAATTGAAACCAAGAATAGGGATCTTTGACGAATGGGATCAAGAATTATTAATTATTTTATTATTTCGACACAAGAACAAGAAAAGGAATTTTTCTGGTATCAAAGACTAGGAAGATGAATAATCCCTTCTAGAATCCTTTGTTCCCAGTTTAACACTCTCCCAACTGAGCTATCCCTGCTAACATTAAAAATAAAAATTCATAAGTAAAGCTATTTCCACTAATTCATTGTATTTTAATAAGAAATAATAATCAACTAAACTATAAGGTGCCACGAACCAAGTGCGGTGAACGTGGATTGAACACGTGACCGACCTTCAGATCTTCAGTCTGACGCTCTCCCAACTGAGCTATCCCCGCAATCATAAAAAATGAAAATTCATCAGTAAAGATATTTTCGCTGATTCAAAAGAAATAATGACTAATTTTTTATTGAATAGTCAGGTTATGCAAATAGAAACAGGTGCGGTGAACGTGGAGATTGAACAAGTGACCTTCAAATCTTATATCTGACGCTCTCCAAACTGAGGTATCCTCGCTAACATTAAAAATGAATGTTTTTAAGTAAAGATATTTCCGCCAATTAATTGAAATTTTAGAAAGAAATGATCACTAATTTTAGATTGAATAGTCAAATTGTGCAACGTGAACCATGTGTGGTTAACATGGATCGAGCACGAGACCTTCAGATCTTCAATCTAACGCTCTCTCAACTGAGCTATCCACACTAACATTAAAAATGAAAATTCATCAGTAAAGGTATTTTCGCTAATTCATTGAAATTTTTAAATAGAAATAATCACTAATTTTTAATAAGATATTCAAGTTATCCAACTTGTATAAGGTGCGGTGAACTAGAACACGTTAGGTATTTCGGATAATTCATTGAGATTTCAGAAAGGAATAATGACTAATTTTAGATTGAATAGTCGAGTTATGCAACTAGAATTAGGTGCGGTGAACGTGGAGATCAAACACGTGACCTTCAAATCTTTAGCCTGACGCTCTCCCAACAGAGCTATCCCCGCTAATATTAAAAATGAAAATTCATAATTAAAGGTATTTCCACTAATTCATTATGTATAAAAAAGAAATAATCACTAATTTTAGATTGAATAAGCAAGTTATGTTTTTAGATTGTATAGTCAGATAATAAACTTGTATTAGGTGCGTTAAACGTGGATAAAACACGTGTGACTTTCAAATCTTCAGTCTAACAATCTTCCAACTGAGCTACTCTTGCTAACATTAAAAATGAATATTCAGGTATTGGGTACACTTCTGGAAATTCAACAAAAGACAATAGTATTAGACCGAGATGCCAGATTTAAATCTCGCTTCTGGAAAATTCAACAAAAGGCATTGGGTACGCAGTTATAGTACGACATTCCACCCATAAACAGATGATCAAACAGAAATGCTCAAGCAAATATTGGAAGACATGTTGAGGGTATATGAGATGGATTTTGCAGGAAGTTGGGATAAGTACCTACCCCTTATGAAATTCGCTTATAATAATACTTGCCGAGCCACCATACAAATGGTCACATACGAGGTTCTCTATGGACGAAGATTTCGATCCCCTATCTCTTGGGAAGGAGGGGGGCAAACGACAATTATTAGGTCAGAGCTGGTGCAAATTACCAACGCCACAATCTAGAAGATTAGAGCTAGGATACAAACCGCACAAAGCCGAGAGAAAAGCTATGCAGACCTAAGGCGCAAGGACATGGAATTGTAGGTAGGGGATCATATATTCCTAAAGGTAGCACCCCATGAGAGGGGTGCTCTGGTAGGGTAAAAAGGGGAAGCTAAGCCCTAGGTTTATCCGTCCCTTTGAGATATTAGAAAGGATTGGATCTGTGGCCTATAGAATCGGACAATGCCCAAACTTGTCTGCAGTACATAATATCTTTCATGTATCCGTACTACGGAAGTAGACCCTAGATCGTTCGCACGTACTAGCTCATGAAACTCTCTTCTTGAAAGATGACCTAATGGATAAAGAAGACCCGATTCAAATAATAGACAAGAAAGTATAATGATTGAGAAACAAGGAAATCTCTCTTGTTAAGATCCTATGGAAGAATCATAGAGTAGAAGAAGCCACTTTGGAAAAAGAAGGCAAATAAGAACCTTGTACCCTAACCTATTTTAGAATAAGCACTTTGGATGACCGAAAGTTTTCGAAGGAGAGGAGAATTTGCAACACTCAAGGTCTCCAATAAGAGACGGTGTATAATCCCCACTAGGTTGTATCTAGAAGCAAAGAACAAGTAAAATTGAAAAAACATTGAGAAAATTGTACTTTTTCTAAATTTTATAAACTTCCCGAATCATTAAATTTTTTATAGAATAAGAATTACACTCAAAGACGTTTCTCCAAACCAATTCCTTTAGCCTGAAGAAAGGATATGGAAGAGGTTCAATGAAGAAATAGGGCCTTGAAACCCCTAGAATCGGCTACCCAATAAGAAATCCTTTGTTTTATCTCCAGCGATAAATCAGATTTTGGATGAACTTTAGTAGCGAATATCTTAGGCTACGATCCACGAGAAGTTATCAAATAAATCCCTAGCCCTTTCTTACTTAAGCACAATAATCTAGCATACAATCTACCATATCATAAACAAGTCATAACGTAAACACTTCATAGTCATATCGTTCTCTAACTTACCATAACGCTATCGTTCTATCAATCTATCACAAACCTATCCCTTTCTACCCACAACCTAACCATATTCTTTCATCAATCTCTCCTATCCATAACACTCTGGTATTTAACCTAACCTTAACGTTTCATGAACGTATCTTACTTCTATCGTTACATTTCGTTTTGTGCATCCTTCTCGTATCCTATTTCAAACATATCCTTGAGTACATCATACCATAATTATTATCATACAAACAACCTATAATAACATAAGATAACATATAGGAAGTATATCGATCCATAGACAATTCACACATATCAATATATATATATATGACACGTGCAGAACTACAGGGAACGTGTCAACATCAAATATAACCATGCCGATAGTAAGGTCACTTACCTGGTTAGCTTAAGTCGTCGTCACAAATATATCCTTAATGAAAGTTCGATTCCGTCGTTATCCTTAATGAAAGTCCATTGAACTCCAAGTCAACGCCCATGACAT